AAATTAGATTTCATTCGGTTTACACAGTCGTAATCTCAGGCTTTCAGGTCGAAATCAAAATTTCCGTTTCCTCTTTTCTTTTATTTCCTTTCTTAAAGGGATAATAAAATAAGAAAACTTGTTCTAAAACACATTTTATTTTAGCCTTTAGCATTAGAAATTCGTATTTTTGGAAATATATTAAAAGTTTGTTTTAGAAGCAATAAACGAGATTGTATATTTTAATGTTATTTATAGTTAGATGCTGAACTGCACTTTGTTTTTAGTTTTTCTAGTTATATGTTCGTATATTCAGTCTTATGAAAAGTGACTTTATTAATTACGCACTCATTGACTAAAACAGAGGACTAAGTTTTTATTCTGATACTTGGTGGGAATTAGGAATGAGCTAAATTTTGTCAAGAAGATGGTTTCGGTGATAATTCATCCAATTTTGTTGGAAAAAAAAGATATAGTATCGTTCTTTTAGAGTAGAAATCTAATTTATGAAGATGACTACTCCATTAGTAAAGAAGTTAATGCACATACCTCAATCCAACTCCATGCTGATGGAACACTATGTAAGTACAGAAGAAATGATCCAAATTATAAGGTACATAATGGCACCTAAGGAAGATTATATAGGAACTTACAATGTAGGACTTTACGTGTGCAGGACCTAAGAACCCTATGTAAGACACCTAACACAGCTCCATAACACTGATCAAGGAATTTACTGATACAAATTTCGAAAATACGAATTTCGTTAACGGATAGGAAGATGTCCTTGAATTGGCCCAGACAGAGCAACCGATTCCTCTAAAATAAGTATTTTGCCACAAATGAGTAAAAAAAAAAACTTGGATGATTTGGCTAGACATATTTATTAATATCCATTCAGTACAAGCTTTAGACATTTAAAATGAGTTGGTGGGGGGAAGTTAAAATGAATATTATTTGGTGCAAAAACGTTGCAGTGAACTTTTTTTAAAAACATTTTAGCCAGCAGAAGCAAGCTTTTGAAATGTGCTGAGTCACTAGTGAGATAGATGCGATGAGAAACTTTAAAACCAGTTTGATTGTTCGCCTGTCGCTGTTTCTCCTCTTTTACATATTTTTATGCATGATAATTACATAAAAAATTATTTTCATTCATTTTTTTCATCTTATTTCAATTTGAAACATTTATTATAATATAAAAATGACCTTACCTAAATCGCGAAACCAAGACCATGAAAGAACTTTATATTGCATCAAATACTATATTGCATAATTTTATGCACATTTTTTCATAAACTTGCAAGTTGTTGATACCATATTTAATTTTACTTAATTGCAAATTTTCTCTTGTGTTCTCAATAAAAGAAAGAAAATCAGCATTAAATTTTTTTGGTAAAAAATGTAGAAAATACAAAGCTATAAATAACTCATTCCACAAATGTGCGTAATTTTTGGTTTCAAAAAATATAAAATTCCGTTCAGTACAATATAAGGGACTTATATGTTTATGTGTTTCTAACTTTTAACCTATTATTAGTGTTTTCAATAGTTCTTATTTTTCTACAAGAGTACAGTAAGACATTACACTCGTGTAAAATGCAACATATTAAACATTAAAATGAAAAGTTCAATATACGAGTAAAAAAAGGTAAAGTTGGTGATAAGTTTCACTATAATCAGAGCTAAATACTGAAAATAACTAATGAGTCCTATGGATACGAAATTCATTAAGAGTTTCTACTCAAATGAAATTTTCTGAATTGGCTCATTTGAAAAGTTCAAGGGTTTTAATCAAGCATCAGCAGTAACTTTGGCCCCGGAAATTAGAAAGACATGCGCTTCAAGTCATAAGAGATTCAATCTCAAATCTTGCAGGGAAAGTACAAAACTATCCTCCTAGTATAGGTATCTCTCTTCTAACTTTTACTTAATTTAATTAAACTTCAGAACCCGAGTTTACTGAGAGAGGTATTTTAATGAGAGAATCTCGTAGGAGTTTGTAATCTCTTATTTCTTATTCGAACAACTTTATCCCATTCAATTAGGAGATTGGAATCAACTGAAAAAATAATAATAACAAGAATTGTGTACGCAATTGAATTGAGCACAATATTGCACACAACACAAGCAGAATTTTTCAGCGATTTAGTGTGTGCTTTGTAACTTTAAAATTATAAAATTATAGGGTCTTAATGTTTATGAAAATAAAAAGTAACTTCGGACTCATTTTTGGTAGACCGAAACCTTGAATTTGTGATACTATTCTTGCTGATTTTAATTTCAACCCGAACTAGAATTTATTATCGGTTTGATAAACAGGTAAAAAGAATGTTTTTGAACACTCTATTCCAAAAATTATAGTGATAAGCTTATAACTTGAATCAGTTACTTTGGTTATTACATGCAATAACTGCAAACAATTTCGTGAACCTAGCTTAATTAATTTGTTATTAATTAAAAATTACTAAAAAAATCTTGTTTGATTTTATTGAATATTTCTGCAGTTATAGTGAGTAAGCTTACGGCAAAAAATTAGTTCTTTTTTATATAAATGTGAATATCTCCATGAATATTTAATCCTGGTTTACAAAGTTTTGTGCAGTTATTTTATATGATAATCATCTTATTTGACATGAGTTACAAGCTTATCGCCGTAATTTTTGACATAGGGTGTTCAAAAACGTTATTTTTTGTTCGTCATTTATTACCGGTCCCACAAACACCCAAAATTTAAAAACTTTATTGATATGCATGGGAAATCACATGGCATAAACAATTCCAAAGTTTCAAAAAAGCATTCTCTAAGCATTTTTTGAGAAATGTGAAAAAAATGAGGTGGCGTAGAAGTTTTTCCATAATTTTGTCCAACCCAATTTTGTTTTGCATATAGCAAAATGAAAATAAATCCTAAATTGAAAGCTTAAAGAAGAAAAAAGCATTTTAGAAGAGAAAGTTTAAGTGGAAAAAAAATGACCAAAATAATTTTTAAAGTAAACTATTAATCCAGGCTTTCTTTGTTCTGGCTAATTAAAGTCTCATCTCAGAATAAACTTTTTTTAAATTACTCTTCTCCGTTAAACAACTGCTGCTTTAGAGAGAATTTAATTTTCTGCTGTAGGCTTTGATTTAATTATTGAACGAACGGTAGGGAATTGACCTAAATGGTTATTCCGCTTTTTGTGTTGTTGTCACTTCTTCTGAACGTCAATGTGAAAATTAGATTAGTTCTGAATGTTCCCTTTGAAGAGATTTTCTTTTCTGTACTTAACTTTATATAAAAAAAGACACTACTGTTTTCAAACCCTGGAAATATTTCAAAAAATTTTGAAAGACAAATTGTAACTTTAATATATGAAAGGCTGAAGGATGCGTGATGATAAGCTACATTTTCTAAGTGCTCAAGAGATCGTTTTCGGAGAAAAACATAACAATTTATACTTAAATCAAGCGTTTCTGAGTATTGTGTAGTTGTCTAGTGAAAATTTTGGAAACTTGTAATGTTTCTAGTTGGAAATAAACCCGATGAGCAGTTTGGTGTAAATACGTTATCATTGGAAAAAAGAAGTCTATAATTCTATTACCTCATATGTATATACTGGGTACTTTCATTAATGACCAGCTACACTACACTTTTTTAGAATCCTTTTCAAGAAGGAAGTAATAGATACACACGCATTAGTGGTTGCAAATTAATACTCAAGTTGAAAAAAAAAACAAAATACAAAAGACTGAAAAAAATAAGAATTTGTTTGATTACCGAAGAAATAGACAGGGATAGGACAGGCATAGGACAGGTCTTATTGGAAGTCAGCAGAATTTCATTGTTTAATATAACTGATTTTGATGTTTTTTCTCTAACCAATATCACTATTGGGATAGCTCATTTTGAAAGAAATGATAATTTTGATAGTAAATTTCGATAGTAATTTTAATTTGGTACCTTCAATTTGTTTGATTTGTTTTAACATAATTTTCGGAAAGATAAGTGTCATTACGGATAAATGTAATAAAAATATCAGATACGTTATCAAAATAAAAGTTTTATCAGTCATTTTGAAATTTTCCTTTAAAGTTGTGAAGTTTCCATTTTCTCAAAATATTTGTTCTGTGTAAGAAACTTTTTGTTGCATTAATCGTATACGATTTGGTTGTACATGCATGGTATGAAATGCGATAGATTACGATTCAAAGTTGTGAATGCGAATCACGTGATAGTCTAGAAACGATTGAGTAATGTTATTGATTATAATATTGCATCGTTTATAAAAATTTATATATATTGTTCATAAAATAGTTGAGGAGAAATGTTATCTTGCAAAGTATCCGGGTGAAGTTTTACACATTGTATATTATCCTGCAAATCTGTAGCGATTGTTGTTGATTTTCTTGGATTTTCTAATAAAGAAACCCACTTCTCAAAATAAATTCTGCTCTATCATACGTAACAGAAGTCCAAATAGATGAGTGAAACACGCAAATTGTGAATTTTTTATTGAAAAATGTAGTTGGTATGCTTTATATGGCAACAGGGATTGCATTTGTTGTCAAAGAAATCAAGCCTGTTTGTTTTTCAATTTGAGATTACAACAATGACGTTATGATAATTCCAGAATTCTCGATCACTTGCATCGGCTCTAATTGTAATTGTATCTGCACTTGTGAGTTCCTAATTTTTTTCAGTGTTTTAGTTGATCAATTTTTACTGATTTTGCAATAGTGTTGCTCTATTGTTCAATTTCTCTATGTAGGCACCATTGCTTAAATTATAATATCAGAAAACAAAAACAAACATATCGGGGAATGTTTTTAAAATAGAGGAATTCTGCAATAAAAAACATAAAATAGCAAAACACTGAAATTTAACAATAAATTAAGTAATGGATTGTATTTTTTTGTTTCCAAATTATTCTTATTTATTTTAGAGAGTACTAAAATAAATAAATTAAATGAAATTTAAAAACTTAAAAGATTTATTTAAAATGTAAAACGAATAAATAAAAGTAGAATAAAAATGCAGAAAAGATAATTTGTCGTCATTTTTACATCGTTTTTTCTTATAATATTTCAGTATTTAGGAACACTCCAGCTTTTTTCCTGTAATCCATAAAATTTGTTCGCCACCAACAAAATATTGTTCTCCCAATTAAAAAAAATATACCATCTAGTGCCTTCAAGATGTCCTGTCTATGATTGGAAAAAATTCAGCAGCCGGGTCATCATATACTTCACGTCCCCCATTACGTCTGCTCGGATAGTTTCCGGATCTAGATGGGTCTTTATCTGTTGGAGGAAAGATTCCTCTTGGTGGAACTCCCCCTGCATTTTCGGGCATGAATTCTCCGGGAACAAATCTTCTTGGCAAAATATTATTAGGATTCCTTCCGGGTACAAACGAACCAGGTTGAACCGTTCCTGGAATTCCACCGAATCCATTTGATCCACCTGGGTTTCCAAACTTATTTGGATTATTTAAGAATACTCCTGGTTCATCAGGAGATCCGAAAGTATTGGGTCCTTCTGGTGAATTAAATATACCGGGTTGTCCATAGATGTTTGGATTACCTGGTTGTCCAAAAACTCCTGGATTACCTGGCTGTCCATAAATTCCAGGATTATTTGGATGTCCGTAGACTCCAGGATTACCTGGTTGACCATAGACTCCAGGGTTTCCAGGAAATCCAAAAACAGTCGGATTTACACCTGGGCTGCCTGGTTGCGCTAGATCAGGATGTCCATTTGGTCCACCAAATGTTCCAGGGAAACCAGGCTGTCCAAATACGCCAGGTGTTCCCGGTTGTCCGAATGTCCATGGGGTACCTGGTTGATTAAATATTCCAGGTCTATTTGGAGGTCCAAAAGGGTTTGGTCCACCTGGAGGTCCGTATCCTGGTTGACCCCTTGGCTGATTTCCACCAACATTTATGAGCACCGCATCAGGCTCATTGTGTGGTGGCATTTGCTTTCCAATTCTAACAGAAATTTCTGGATTGAAGTAACCATATAAAACACCTTTGTATGTAGGAAACGATGAAGAGACCTTCAAAAATACAGTAAGAAGGAGCAATTTTACAACCTGAAAGAATTAAGAGTATTATAATAATTGTGCAAGTAAAGTAAATAAAAAACAAAATTGTTATGTGTGTAAAGAAAAAAAATAATCAATGACAGTTTAAAACTAATTTACTCCATAACAAGCAAATATATATTTAATTGCTGTGAGCCAAAATTAATTTTAGATAAGTAATACATTTTGATGAGCATTGCAATAATGAAACGAAATTAATTTCGATGGCCAGAATTCTGAATAGGTGAAACAATTTTAGAGAAAATGAAAAAAAAATACATTGTGGTCTTTATTTGTAGGAATAATAAATGTTAATGTTTGACTTTCTCAGAAATTCTAATTTTTAATGGTAATGCTAGTTTATAAACTAAAATATAGTGTGCAGTTCATTATTATGAAATAATTTATCGCTCGATTATTGAAATTAGTTTTGGAAAACAATAACATTAAATTGGTTATCTATACGGAGTCTAACCCATTACGGAATTTTCCTAATCCCTTGAGGGAAGAACAGAGAAAAGTAGAGTATTGGCTGAAACTTAGTGCAATATCGTTAACTAGCAAGAAGAGGTATAAAAACTTATTCAAGGTTAGCTTATAACTGTCAGATTTTATTTGTACCACAGAATAGTGGCTCTCAAAAGGTGTTCCGCGGAATCCTAGGGCTCTGTGAAAGATATTCAGGGGTTCAGAGAATTTAACTTATTTAGGATACACAGAAATCTATAACGAAAACGTAACAAGAACAGCATTCCTGTAAAATTTCAGGATTGACCAATCCTGAAATTCTACTCGGAAACCAAGCGCCATTGCAGAAAATCTAATTAAAATATGTATGACATCTACAGTACTCGGAGAAAATGCAGAAAAGAAAGTTGTTTATAGATTGTTGAATAGCCAATTTCTAGACTCATGATTTATGTTGAACTGTGTTGTATAACGATGATTTGAGAATTGAATTTTTTAGCCAATATATTCGATAAACTAATGCGGGGGATCCACCAAAAAGAAGTCAATCAATTAGGGTTCCACAGCCGAAAAAAAATTGGAAAAGAGTCAAAATTTTAATAGCAGTAACACCCAAAATTTGATATCATAACTTTTAAATTTTTTGTTGCTCTTTAGAAAGTATATATTATACAAAACAATAGCCAAAAAAGATTTTTCTTATTTAATTTATTTTACAAGATATTAACAATTAAATTTTAAAGCTATTTTTATTTAAAAAATAAATATCTAAGGATAGAATGAATGGATTTTAAAAAATGTATCTCATTTTACGCGGAAATAATTGAAGTTCTTGATAAAATAATTATAATAAAACAAATGTTTAAAAAATTTAATTTTCATTGCAAAATTAAGTTGTAAAATGAAAAACAAAAATGTCTAATTCAGGGGCTCTAATTTCGGCAACAATCACTTTATCGACAGACCATTTCATTGACACGACTTCATTAACAGATCATTTCATTGACTAGGTCACTTCGTCAACAGGGTCGTTTCGTTGACAGGTCATTTCAGCGACAAGTCATTTCAGTTGACTGGGTCGTTTCGTCGATAGTGCCCTTTTGACAACTTCTTCGTCGACAGTATCGTTTCGACGACAAGTCATTTCGTCGACAAAGGGATACCTCGTTGACAGCGATATTTCATTGACTTCTTTTTTCGACAGTAGGGCCGTTTCCTCCGCATGTTTAATTTTGAAACTATTTTTAGGGTTTGTTAGGTTGCGCATTCCGTCTTTTGTCGTATTTGTCGTTTATTTTTATGTCTGTTTAAACTCAAAACTAGTTGAACATTTTTAAAAGTATTAAATCTTTAGGTTTGCTCTTAGTAAGAAATTATTCAGATTGAGATTTTAATAAGTGATGACATTTTTAAGCAACTAACACACGATTCTTATAATTTGAAGTGAATTAACTCGAAATGTTTACATTAACTGCTTTTTAAAGAGTTTATATTATTTTTCAAAATTTTTATATTAACTATTTCAAAATTCCTTGAAAACTTTTGAAAAAATTTCAGCACAAAGGTTTAAAAGAAAAAAAAAACAAACAAACAAACTCCAGAAATCCTTAAGTGTTTAAACACAAAATTCCATCACTTTTATTACGGAAATCTAAAGGAATTTTCCTATTTTTAAGAAGATTTCTTAAAGAAAAAATAACACAACAAAAACTTTAATTTTTATTAATAAAACTGCGGTATTTTGTGCCAAAACGCTTAAAGAATTTTAGAGTTTTTTTAAAGGTTTTGTGCTCTCTTTTTTAATTGGGTAAAGTACTGCTATGTTACTCTTGATATTAAGTTAGGTATTTAATTTTTCATAGCTCTCTAATTTAAGTTAAACTCAGGGACTCAATGGTGTACTAAAGAGAGAATGAGCTCATTGAGTGTTTATTGCATATTTTTGGAAAATTTCATATTGTAGGAAAAATAAAAGCTCTTTCTTATTCTTCACTAAAAAAATACTCGAAAGCAAAAATATTTCAGGCTTAGCTGTGGAAATATGTCTTTTATGATTAAAGCTTCAAAACATTTCATTGTATTGAAAAATGAACAATAGAAGACGCTAAGTACTTCTAAAAATAATGTTGACTTTCAGTGAAAATGTTGAGCATTTTTAAATTAAAAGTTGTAATTTTTTTAAACTTCATTAATGTAGAGCAGAATTTTTAAGTAATGAGTTTAGTTGTGTATCATAATAACGGAATGTCATAGCATAATATCGATCAACAGATTTGTTTCAAACTTTAAACTTCGTAATGCACTCATCTCCTGTATTTATTATTTGTTATGTATTTATTGTTTGTTGTCCTGTGTTTATTGTTTGTTGTATCAGAAAGAAAATTCATGACGTTATTATGCTTCTACAACCTTATAAACATTAATCATAAAAATTTACATATTCGTGTTTTTATGAGTTTTTTAAATGAATTCATTCGTACCAATATAATAACTCAAGAAATCAATGTAATCAACTTGAAATAAAGTTATGTCTCACATGGTGCTAAATTATTACATTTCTTTCGAAAGTCAGCAATGTGTACTACTTTCCATATTTTACATGAAAATATTTTTCTTAGATTTTATTAGTCTAATAATTTATTTTTAATTCATTTCTTTTGATTCCATTTCCTGCAAGTGACTTCAATTGGCGAAATCTCGTTTACAGTTTCTTTAAAGTTGATTATTGTACTAAAATATCTAAAGTGACGTTGTTTTGAGTGTTCAATCTTACGTTACATTTTATTTTTCGTAACAAAAGCTTTCACATTTAGAAAGTTGAAATTAAGGTACAGGGAGTGTGATGAAATTTGACATTCGATTATTAGTTCGGAAATTATTAACTGTTAAGCTTGTGACAAATACCTACTTTTCAAATCACATAAATGCAAATGCAAAGTTAAACTTAATGAAGGAGCCCTTTTTTTCATGAATTAGTATTTTTTTCCCTTCAAAATTTCAACTTGTGTCAAAGTTATAGCAATTTTAGGTACTTTTTTTCTTGAACTTTTCCTGCGCACTTAAAAGACTTGAATAATTTAGGGTTACAAAAATGTTCAAGGGGTTAAACAGAATGAAAAATAACATTTGACGATTAGTTTGGGTATTATTATGTGCTTAATTTGTCTTAAAAATATTATGAGGGTCACTCTGAAACTCACAGAAATGTAACTGCGCAGTTAAAATTTACGTGACGAACGGGCTATTTTTAATTGTAAACGTAAGTTTTTTTTCAAAAGTCCAATTTGTCTTTGCAATTCTTTTTTACGTTATCTTGACTCACTTTTTTGCTCTAAATTTGGACTATTTATCCATTGTTATCAGGAAATTTATTTATCGTTCTTGAGATTTCTAATCTAAAGTGTTAAAGCAACAAAAACAAAATGAAGGGACAGAAATTATTTATTGCCAGATATAAATCTTAACATTTAGTTGAATTTTAAAAAAAATAATTCAAGAGAAATAAAAACCGTTTTCTAATTTAACATGAGATAAGCCTCGTTGATGAGTAAATTTACTACTTACTAATTTTGTATTGAGTTACAAAATCTGTATTTCTGAGTTAAATTTTTTTTCCAACTACAGTTGATTTCTTTTTAAATACACTCATTTCCTTACGATTAATATATTAATAAAATGGTCTTACCTTAAGCTACAACAGTTGTATATTTTATCTATAAAATGTTAGGCGTTTCTGTAAAAAAGGGGGACTTTTATGGAGGACGAAAAATGGTGAATGAGAAGCAGTTATGGGAATTGGTGAGAGGGCTTCCTAGTAGAGTAAAAAAATTATGTCAACAGTGTTACCTACTTAAATAAATAAATGTATATGTCGCAAGTTATATTACTATTTAAATACAGCATATAAATTTTTGTAGATAAATTTCGCAAAATTATGATTACGTATGCAATAACTTTAACATTTCTAAAGGAAGTGTATCTCAAAGTCTCGGTAATAATAATCAGATTATGCAAGTGCATCTCATTATCTTCAATAATAATTTGTTAGATTTTCTTTTACATTTCTGTGATTAAATTGCAAACAGTAATTAGGAATGCAAAATTTTCAGAAGCACGTTCAGTCGTACAAGTTTGTTTAGTAAAATTATCAAAATACAAATAAATATAAGGTTTGGATAATATTTTCGACACTGTTGTTTTACTTTAGTTAAAAGTGTTGTTTCACCTTTTTTTTGACAATAAAAATTATTCACTGCTCATTTTTCTAGAGTAAGTTTAAATTTTAAATTATTCTTTCTTTGGAATTTATTTTAAAAAGCATCTACTCTACACTGCATAAGTTAAGCGTCAGTTGAAATCATCTATTGAAGAAAATATTTGGCTTCTTAATAATAAATATAAATATATACCTATGCTTAATATATAAACAAGCTATTTCTATTATAATACATGGGGAATCTATTGTATTATAATCATGGTATTATAGGTATATAATTCTATTATAATCATGGAATTTTTTTCACTGAAAGTGAACACATTCTCATCATTTAAATTATCCGCTTCCACAGTAAATCCCATTTAGAAATAATCAAAATCAATCCTTCTCTTAAAAAAAGGTTGCGATCATTTTGCTTTGTTTGAAGAATTTGGAATATCTCCAGAGTTTTTTAGTTATTCCGACTGGCATTCAGACTTATTGCAATGTACCTACTGATTCTTAGGCTGATAATAAAATAAATTATTCAAAACTCAGATAGCTTGGCTTATGTTAACTTTTTTACAATCAGTCCCAGAGAAATGAATACTGATTTGAATAAGCTGCGAGAAGCAAAGGATTATTAAAAGGTAATTCAAACAAAAAGAATAATTTAAAATTTAAACTAGCACCAGTGTGTAGCAAGTAGTTGTGAATCATTTCAACTCTTAAAATAAAGATAAAAAGAACGTTTTTTCTTTAATTTTCTTATAAAGCACCAAATAAATATAAGTGAGTTAATTCTGTAAATTTTTCATTGCTTTCAGCCTAAACAGATTTAGACTGATTGAAAATCCTTAACTTATTTTATAATCAGCCTAAAGGCATATGAGCTGATTGCAATAAACCTAAAATACTTAAATCCAGACAGTATAGAAAAGTAATGGAGACTTTTCCAATCAGCATGGAGCACTGCAAAACGACGGCAAACTGCCAAATAGCCGGATTTTCCAATTACCATACGGTAATTACACTCTTAAAAATTTCGTAGCGTGATGAACTATGATTACATTTGTTGCAATCTTATTAATTGGTTGCCATTCTGAGCAAATCTTGATGATACGATAGTATAGGGTCCAACTTAAGTGGAAACTGTTGGTTCTATTTAACACCTTAATCAAATTTACAGTAAATTTGTACCTTGTTGTACTACAACGTCGAACCAGTTTTTCTGACCGTTTCCCACTATATATCAACTCACAATAGTGCGCTATTAAAATCAAATCAAATGAATGATCCACCAAAATAATGCTAATTTATTTAAAAAAAAAATACGCCACCCTTTCATTCAATAAAAGAAAATTCAAATCTTACTTACTTGAAATTTCATTTCGAGGCGTTGGAAGAGAGGCACTCGATATTATCATGTTGTTCTGTGGTAGTAGTCTTTTTTTATAAGCCCTTTTCCCTTTGTTTCCTCTCTTTGTTGACAAGTTCGTTGATGTCACATTTCAAGGAACAAAACCGCCCGACCGTAATGATTAGGACAACAAATACTTCAGAAAAAAGCGAAATCATCCTCCCTTCCTTCCGTAGTTTATTTCTCCAATATTTTCTTACCCCCCTCTCCCCACACAGCCATATTTTTTGACCCATTGCGTTCTTTGAACTTCAAGATTCCGAAAACTATGAGATTATTTGGAATCGTAAATTTCCCTCCTCGCATCCGAAGAAAAATTTTGATTCTAAGAGCTTTCATAAAAATTCTACTAACAAGTAAGGTATTTCTGAAGGTGAAGGATAATAACCCCAACACTTTTATTTTTATTATTTTTTTGTGGTTACTTTTGTTGACCTCCTGAATAGCCAACAAACTTTTCTTTTTGTAATTTAAAAAATACCTTCGTTTTTTAAGGGGAGAATGGATCTTGAAAGTCTTAAAAACAAAAGTTTTATTTCAAATATCTAATAATATGTATTTACATGCTAGAATTTTAATTATTCTAGAAAACTATATTCAAGGTAATTTATATACAAAGTTTTCTATAAAAAAGAAATTTAAAGAGATATTAATGAATGACAGTAATTAATTGCTCATAATATCCCTAAAGTTGCAAGAGTTTAGAATAAATTAATTTTTTTTTCTCATATAAGGCCTAAAATAAATGGCACACGTAACGATTTCAACATTTATATCTTAAAATGCACACTTTAAATTAAAAAAAACATTTTTTTCATAAAATGCTATTAAAATTCTACCACTTACTTTTATTTATGTAAGCATACATTTTTGAAATCATTTTGCGTGACATATGCTCCAAATTTTAATTTTGAAAAAATGTTTTAAAAGGTAAAATAATTTTTTGTAATTAATAGAGCGAAGGACTTTTTTTTTTAATTCGATGCTATTAAACATGTTATATAAATAAAGTATTCGGGACATCTTTAAATTAATTTCTTATTGAATTTTGATATTTTATGGATGCATAGATGAAACACACGGAAGTTAAATACAATCAGTAATATACGTAATAATAAACTAATAATAAATATGCCCTGATTTAGCAGGATCTATTTTTAAGAAATATGAAATAAAGACTCTTCACCCTTCTATTAAATTTTCAGATGCATTTAGGTCGTCTAATTACTTACAATATAAACAGTTAAGGAAAATAGTTTAATATTCATGTAAAAATTTTTTTGTTCCTCATTACAAACAAAAATAAATGAACGATATTTAGTTTAATAATGAATGGCTTCAATAGGTAAAGTTATGAAAATTGTTCTAAAATCATTAAATAATTGCAGTTGGTTTTGCAAATTTTGTTTCATTTCTTTTCAAGGGGGAAAAGCTTTATAAAAATTTCGCTTTAATTATTTATATTATATCTTATGAGTATAATATATATTAATTAAATAATAATAAATTACTGGTTAATTTTAATCTTATTTAATACAACAGTTTTATTAAATGACTAATATTTAATATTGTACATTTATATAACCATAATTTATAATGATGGTTATAAGTTTCTTAATTTTAATCATGTTTTTTAATTATTTTCCTTAAAAATATTTCTGTTTCAACAAAAATGATTATTGAAGTATCAACAGAATTATTAAATCATGGGGAAACATTGATTGCTTATTAATGGGTAGTTATCAGATTTGAAGTTACTTCAAAATTATAATAATTACTATGTCCGTACCTGTATTATATGTCAGCATTATTCACGTAATTTTTTGCATCAGTCTACGTTGCACATAGTACATCCCATCCTTTTTTAGGATAGAAGAATTAGGTACGAAAAACGTGGTATGCATTAATCAGAATAAATAAAACACAACTTTTTATTTTTATGTTTCCCAATTGTATGGAAATGCTCATTTAAAATAATAATGTGACTCGTTGTTTGTTACAAATTGATGGTGCATCCGTGACATAATGCATGTCATGAATTAAATGTTTAGGAGTGTTAAGAGGACTCTATACAACGGGAGAAATTTTTCGTCGCGAATTCTCTTTCATCTCCATGACAAATTTAAAATTTTAAGTACAGAAAAAGTTAGTTCTGACAAACGTATAGTAAGCCATGAAATTTCAAATACTGAAGAGAAATTTTTAACGTATCAAGTAAAAATAAATTAAGAAACTATAACTTAGGATTACGCAATTGATAAGTTCTCTTCTCATAATTTCCATGCATTTTGATATTTTTAATTATTTTTTTCAGCAATTGAAACTTTATAGCTCACTCTAGGTATGCCTGCAATCATTTTTTTCCCTTCTTTTGCATTTTAAATCAATCATGGAGGTGAAAGATAATTTGCAACAAAATGTTTCTCCCTTGGTATGGCGTTCTCTTAACTCCTATTATTACCTCTGATGCCCCATTAACAGTCACTACTCTAAATAAAAAATTTTTATACCTTATTTATAAGTAACCTCATTACTTTAAGAATTTTAAAAACTGTATAAAATATTGTTTTATGTATTTTAAAGGATTTAGTGGTTATATTAATTCAAACAGCATTTTAGAAGTAATCGGAGCGCAAAGGGTTGCGATCACACATGGACGCATCTACACAAAACACGTGTTCAAAAACAATAGTGATTTCTTAACTTAATGTAATGTTGTTGAGCTTTTTATTCGGGACGCAGCTCGAAAGCACGCTTAAGAAAATGGACATAGTTATTAAAAAAATGGACACAGCATATGATTCGTTAAGTAAATTTCTCTTATGAAAATTGTTTTCTTTTAAAAAAATAAATTAATGGATCCAAATAATTTCGCAATGTTGTCACTTTCTCTAAGTCAGTTAGCACACTTTTTTTAAAATTAGTTTTTTATAAATGTATTTAAATTCAACTGTTCTTTTCAATTCAAATTGTTCAACTGTTCTTTTTACTAGGTTGTCCGATAAATTTATTATAATGGTATTAATTCGATATTGCACGATTTAGATTTTTAAAACCTTCTTAATCGTTTAGTGTTTTGAATACTAAGAAATGCTCGAAAAGTTACATCGATAATATATGTAACCTATTACCGAGATTTTGCCCCGTATTGATTATACTTTGTTTAAAAATAAAAGAAAAGTATGAAATTCCATGTTAAGTTGTTAAATTTAAATTGAGTATTGGGGAAAAATATACTTGAGGGTGCGAAATTGGCGACTTATGTTTGGCGCTGTTCCTGTTTGTGCGGAACACCGTGGTAACAGGAATGGCGGCCAGAACATAATCTTATTTCAATAAAACATTGAAAAATTTCAACAAAACATCGGATAAAGTTTGCAATGAACCTAAAATAAGCAAAATTAATAAATCCTATAAAAAGGATTTTGAATCGAAGCAAAAATTAATGGAGTAGGCGCAGAAAGAAAAGGAAAAAAACAACAACAACTCACTTCTTCATTAAGCTTGAATATTCTCAGATTAAGGTGCACAGAATTATCTAATAACAGTTAGATACTGTCTAAATTTATCATGAATAGNTAATTGATTACATAGCTGTAATTATCTGTAATCAATTACAGTTGTAATCGATTACTGTAATCAACGGCCAACTCTGGTTTCAACATCACCCAGCTTGGCGATCAACCGCGATCACAACGTGGCGAGAATCAAGGGGCACCCTCAAATATAGTCTACCCGAATATTGAAAAGGCCCATTTTTCGCTGTGTCCATTTCGTGGTGATATTAATAATTCTGAAAATCAATTAAGAACAGAGACATTTAAAATATTTTCATAATTTCATAATTCATAAGTTTATATTTCCTTCTTGAGAGTTTTGTCAGTTTTATTGCAAAGTGAAAACTGATTGTCAAATAAATTGTTGCAACTTTAAGTTTTCATAATAAAACTAAAATTTTCTTCACGCAGAGCTAATAAACTCGTTTCAGGCCCAAATCTTTTCATTTGAAGTCATTTCGCAAATAAAACTTTTTTTTTTCTGTCCGAGAAAGTGAAGCAATTTCATTCATATGAGGAAGTAATATATATATTTAGCATATTTTAGCGATTTCTACTACTATCACATCGCATCAACCGCTTTCAAGTATATCCAAACAACAAAAGGAAATTTGAAATTCAATACTGTCATATCCGAGATACATCAAATATGTTTCAACAAAGAAAAGAAAAAAGAAACTAGAATATTTCTCGCCGCATCATTTTACAGATATTTCCAAGAATATTTTTCAAAAGAATTCTACACATCATGTTCGAAAGCAAATATTTAGATAACATTTTTCGAAACCTGTAAGAGGAATAGTTTTAAGAATCTTAAAATGAATCTTTGGACTTCATCTTGTTATTCGTTTTGCGAAAACTGTGCATAAAATATTCAAATAGTTGTTTTTAAATGGAGCTTAAATTCTCTGCACTCGCCACAAACCTAACCATTAAGTTTTGTTTTTTTATGTGTTATATTCCAAAACTACAAAATAATTCGCATAGTGATTGTTTAGATTCTTATCAAAAAAGAGGGTAGCAAGCAAATGCAGCTTCTATTGATAAGAATAATGTGAAGAATTTAGTTAAAAGGAACATAAAAATCCATTGAATTTATATTTTGAAGGAAAAAAAATATTGTCAGGCTTTATATTCAGACATTTTGTTGTAACCTTTCTTCAAATTTCCGTTTCTTTTATTTCCACATTTCTATATTTTTACTCATAAAAGACACAATAAAAATATTTATATATGTAAAAAAATACCCGGAAAATTTCACTTTATTTACGAGAATAGCAGAACGAGAAGTATTTTTAAGAGTTTAGATGTTTAAACTTTTTTTTTCTCTCCACGTATTTCTCGTAGCAGACGCTAGATGAATAACTGTTTTTATTATTACCGTTTCTTGCATTGTAAATGTTGGCTCGATATTGGAATAAATAGGATTTTGAGGAAAAAATGTTTTTTCTTGCTTTTCATGCCATTTCAGTTCCAATACCTACCCGAAATATGTCTTTATATTTTATCTGGAGGATTTTGATATGGATAATAATTATATAGCTTAGATGCTCAAGCTACTTAAAAGTAAACTCTTTACTTATATGAAAAAAAAGGCAGAGAATCACAATAAATTCTAATAAATAAATATG